ATTATATATATATCTTATATATATATATATATATATATATATATATATATATATATATGCTCTCTTTGTTCGTTCCTTTCATACTTCCGTGCAGTTCAAAGAAAATGTATTTTTACATATATTCCGATCTTGAATCGGCGCCATATAAGGAGTTTACGTTATTAATTTTTAAATTTCTCGTAATTTTGTTATATTCGAGATTGGGTACTTTTAATATATGATACGATAATAATTTAAATAAAATTTGTATAATGATAGTAATTTTTTTAATAACTGTTTAAAAAATAATGTTTTTTGTTAACACCAATTACAAAATTTATTATTTCTAATGAATATAAAGTAATGTAAATGCTATGATGAATATAAAGTAATGTAAATGAAATGGTAATAATGAGTAAATTTTTTAATTTTGTTTTTTTGCATAATTACAATATAATTACATCATGAATGTTTCTAAATAATCTTTTTACATTATATAAAGAATTGAGATAAATCAATCTAGTAACCATAGGAAAATGATTTCAAATTAAAAAAATTATTATCCATCGTATAAAAAATGTAAAAATTTTTTTCTTTATTATTCTCTTTATAAATCCATTATTTATAAGAAACAAATATTGAAAAATAATAGTGCATACATGTATAGCAAATGCATAGCAAGAGTTCGTGAACACGACTCCTCCTACATGTTAGTTATGCATCGTTTCCGCCTTTGACGTAGCATACGTAGTCCTGACGTAAATGTGTTTCGTAGCACGATGGCATGAAAAGAAACCGGAACTGGCGTGATGCCTGCCTGACAATCGAACAAATATTCTGGTCTATCAGTACGTGATATCTTCTCTTTGATCTGTTTCTTCGATTTTTTTTGCGATAACTTTTAATGTATAAAATATGAAATATTCCAATAATTAGTAATAGGTGTAGAATTTTGTCTCATTTTATTTAATTGTTTAATTTTTTCAAATAGTTTAAAGCAACGAATTAGTTAAGAAATAGTTATATAATACATGTATATAATATTAGGAGCATATATGTATGTAGGAAAAAGTTTTGCTGAATTTATTAAATATTTAATTTTTAATTTAATTTTCAATTTGTGATCTCATTGGATAAATTATTTCTTATGTCAAAAATATGAATTGTTATATAGATGGAAATTATTTGGATTATTTGGATGTCTTCTAATTTAAAATCCCAAGTATTGGCCATCTGTATCCTCTACCGGAAAAGACTCTAATTTACTGTAATTTTTTTTCTTTATTTTCTTTGAATCATCTCTCAATCACCATCATTTTCACAAACATCGTTTTTTTACTATTTTCTTTACGTCACTTTCTATTCAAATCAACTAATAGAAATATCTGGTATAATCATTTTTATAAGAACCATTTCAGGCAATAGAATAAATCAAAATAGAATTAAGAGAATCACATCCTTTTCAAATTTCTAAATTGTTTCTGTATAATCGTACAAACAGTATTCGGTGTGAGATGTACGAATAACACATTACCATTGAATCTAGGAGACTTCAAGTTAGGGATATTTACGGTGACATCGTGTTTGATTTATTAACGATTCAATTTCACCCTAAGTGCGGCCATTACGAATCGAGATAGGGACCAATGCATTCAAATCGAGCTATAAATTATTCAAGCCTCTTTTCGTCGGTCGAGAACAACTGGTTCTCTCAACTTGTGTATATTGTACAGTAACGAACGATAAGAAAGCAATTTCGCGTGCAGTTGAAACAATCGGTGAGTCCGGTGAATCGCAAATTGCAATCAGTACGTGACCACTTTTCATTGAAGCTCCACCAAACTTGCGGAAACCTTTTTTACCGATCGATCTCCCAGCTCCCAGTCGATCGACGAGGCCCTGCTTAATTATTATTTCTTCCAGGTCTAAAAATAATCACCGACCCTCTTTTCACGATCCGTAAACTCGTTGCAGCGGAAAATGGTCGTCGAAAGAGGATCGATCGATTTTGCAACTAAAGCTACGTCGAATACCGTTTTCGGTATTCCGGAAAGGACACCGGAAACGAGACCCGCTTACCCTTATATATAGAAGCGATGGGAGATTTCCTGTAAGAGAGAAACGGTACAAAAATAAGAATATATACAGGATGATTCAAAAATATATATTAATACTTTAAAGACAGATTATATATACTAAAGACAAAATGTTATATGCCCTATATCATCATATATATTTTAGTTAAGGGTCTGAAGTATTTGTATTATAAATAAGGTTAGGTTAGAGATACATATGACCGCCCTTTTCAACTCATTAAATTTTTATTTTAGGAATTTTTTAAATTTATTGTGCATTTAGTGATGCAAGTGATTTGTAAGAAAAATTAAAAAATCAAAAAATAATATATTATTGAGATAGAAGAAGAATATAGAAAATGGATATTTCGAATATTTTCTTTAAGCATTCATAATTAAAGAAGTAAGATATGTAACATATATATATATATATATACAAATTTTATTGTGCAATTAATATGCAAATTCACTTATAAAATAAAATATTGAAATGAGAATCATTATGAAAATTATAAATCACCCTTTTACTTGCAAGCGATTATCTTGAATCTGATTCTTAGACGCATCCAATAGGTGCGTAGAAATTTATTTTCCATATAAGGTAGACAATCGATTCGTTGTTATTTACGGATGCGATGTTCGCATTTGCACGTATGCAGCACGTGTATGTTATTATTGCAGTCACGATACTGAATCTTTTCGCTGGACAACACGACCACTTCATACGATTTCTGTGTTGAGATCTGTGCGGAAACATTTATTTATGTTTATAATTGCTTCGAAATATATTCATTATGTTTATGCAAAAAAAAATTATGGGAAAATTGAAAGATGCTTATGAAAGTAAAACTTGTAAATTGAAAGTAAGTAAAAAATTATGAAATTCTAAATGTTAGGTTTGGAAAAAAATTATTTTTAGAATCCTTTAAGATTAAAGCAATCAAATAAAATTATTATTTTATCCTATTATTTAAATCTTTTGTTAAAACTTTATGCTTCCTGTAAATTTTAAATGAAATTAATTTCGAAGCATATTGAATTTTTAATATAAAAAATAAATAAGCGAGAGTTTTATTTTAGATATTCAAGTAGAATGTGAACCTTTAACATTAAAGAAAAAAATTTTTAAATAATCACGAAACACATAGTATATAGAGCGGAAAACTTACCGCTTTCCAAAGCTTGAAGATTTTCATATTTAATAAATATTCTAATTTATTCATATATTTTATTATGTGAATGTTTATTATTTGAAAATAAAAATTAATTCTCATTTATATTTATGAAGAAATTATTATTATTTTATAGATAGACATATATGGGTTAATAAGAAACATTGATATTTATTTCATCACTCAAGCAATAACTCTATATCATTCTTGATCAACTTATCAATCTACCATCATAAATCATCTTCACAACTTTCAATCACATCCATCCAATTTCCATTATCGTTGAAACCTCTAGAAATGGGTTGGAACGGAACAAGTTTCACCGTTGCGCGATCCAATCGACCATTCACGGCTCGTTTCCTCATTTCAGCGACACGAGATGCATCGGAGGGTGGGGTACAGCAACTACGATGGCAAGATTGCCGGCCTCTACGACCTGGAGGAGACGCTTGGCCGCGGTCATTTCGCCGTAGTGAAGCTCGCCAGACATGTTTTCACCGGTGAGAAGGTCGCAGTGAAGGTCATCGACAAGAGCAAACTCGATGAGGTTTCGAGAGCACACCTTTTTCAAGAGGTAAGCATATAGAGATGACATGGTATTTATTTTTCTTTTTTTTTTTTTTTTTTTAATTTTATTTTATTTTTGAATCGTTCTTTGAATTTAAATTGTTATCCTTAAAAATATTCTGAATTTTGGGATATCAGAAATTATTAGCTTTTTTTTATATCTTTCGAATCGACAAGTAGATTCTAAAAATATAAGTTTTAATATTAGAAAATCATTTTATCAAAAATTACGAATGTTCAAACGCAATCTAAAGTTGATCTAGGTATTCTTCTGTTTGCTAAGCAAGAGATAGAATTAATAAAACAAAACAACTTTTAAATCGCTGTAAATTAAAACATAAATTATTTCGACGAGTAAAAATTTAATTAACAATTAATATCTTATTTAAAATGCATATAGAAAATGAAAAACTTATATTATTACAATCTCAACAAATTAGGATCCATTAAGTTATCTATTTTTTATCACTTTTATAGTAGATATCTCATTTACATAACTATCGTCCCATTGAATACGTGAGTCAGTAATATGCATTTTAAAGATATTTTCTAATTATATTCGTCGAATATTATAAATCGAAAAAGTTGATAATATTTAAAGGAATTATTATGAAATTAGTATTTTTAATAAATATTTTTCAAAATATTCACTTGCATAGAAATATATAAAAGCGATATTCATTCAATTTTTTTCTCCCCCTTTTTTTCTGTTTTTTTTTCTTTTCTTTTCTCATTCGTCGCATGTCTCATCAATGCAAGTCGACGAAGGCGACCGCATATCCTTCATCCCTTTGTTCCTGCACCCCTGTGAGACGCATGAATGGGAATACGTCGAGCACAAAGCGAACCGTGAAGGAAATGGAAACGCGTGCTAATCTCTTCCTTCTTTCCGTTTGCTCGCTCAATGGTTGTAATGCATCGCGTGTATCTTATTCGAGAGCACGGGGTTTTCTTCAGCTTCTCTAACCTTTCACATCTTCGCTTCTTCTGCCCGATCATCGAGGCGATCGTACATGGATTTGCAATGGATTTCTTCTTTTAGACGGGATATTGGATAAAGTGATAAGTCGAAATTAATCTAAACTTTTAAAAGTAAAAAGCGATAAAATTGATTATACATGCAATTTTGAAAATAGATTTTGAAAGAATAGATTTAATCGAAATATAAAAATTTTCGTACGTTCTATAAAGAGGGTTTATTTTATCGGATAAATATCTTATTATTTTGTCATTTGTTATCACTTTTCTTCCATATCTCTCAATTAATTCTCTAAAGATTAATTCGTCATCATTTTTTTTTTTTTTGCGAAGGTCCATTATTCTACTAACTGATAAATACCCTCTTGAAAAAATATGATGGTTTTGAATTGATGAAATTAATACGAACGTCACTTCATTTTTCAAGTACGCATCATTCAGATAATGCTGCGGCAATGGAACAGGTAATAATCCATTACAGCCTCTAAATAATAATCCTTCGAATAATAGGAATTTATTTATAAGTGGTTTCAATCAATAGGAATTCGTTCAATTCATTTTATCAACATCAAGTATGTATATACATTCATACAAATTTTATGCCAATCCTGTGGATAATAATTATGATTATACGCCATTCCAGCAGTCTATAATAATAATCCAATAAAATCTATATATAATTTCAATATAAAAAAAGATACAATTGAATTATATATGGATCCAAACACGATGAGAATTAGCTCAATAAATGAAGCTCAAATAAACTGAATTTCGCAATAGGATAAATTTGATTTCAATGAAGCTCAGATAAACTCGGTTGTTCTATCAGTTCTAATATTTCTTCCTACAATCTTCATTATATCGAACATTCGATGTTAAATATTAACGACCGATTGCGTAAGATCCGCTCGACGGCATCGCGTAGGAAATATCTACGATCCGCTTCGAACTTGTAGATCTTGTTAAGGTCAACGAGATAATGGCCGCGATGGAGAGAAGGAGAGAAAGGGTCATTGACCATCCGTACGAGGGCAAATGTCGAACCATCCTGCCTTCTCTACCCCATGTCTGATCATCATCCTCTTTTGTTTCTATATCCGCAGGTGAGGTGCATGAAGCTGGTGCAACATCCGAACGTGGTCAGACTTTACGAGGTGATAGATACTCAAACGAAGCTCTACCTGATCCTCGAGCTTGGCGATGGCGGCGACCTCTACGATTACATCATGCGCCATGACAGCGGCCTCAGCGAGGAGGTATATATCTCGAGATCGTTTCAACATATTCCACTTAATGATCCTGTTTTACCGGGGAAAATGAAGTCATTCTGCAGGCATTGGCCTCGTGCAGAAGTTTTTCCCTCCCCATCTTTTTTTTTTCCTCTTTTTGCTATCTTGTTATTCTAGGTCAGTATTTCTTAATATTTTTCTATTTACTCGCGACCCAATTGAAATCTTAACAAACAGTTTCTTAATCATAAAATATATTGCATGCTTGACTAGTTTAAAATTAATTGTAACGTATCAAGTATGTATGAATAGTTTTTAGGTATTACAAAATAGTTGTCTTTGAAACATATACATATAAATATTTATGTCCATTTTAGTAAATTTTACAGAAGTTTATATTAATTCCTTGATTAGATAAGAATATATTTACGAAGAATGCGGAGATAATTATATGATTCGAATCATATTATTTTATTTTTTCGAATTTGATTATTGTTATTGTATTATTAAGTTAAAAGAAAAAATTTTATTATTATATTATTTCGAAAACTTCAGAAATACATCAACTCAGAATCAAATCATCGTTTAAAAATATGTTACAGCGAAATTATGAACAGTTTCCAAAAGTAGTTTTTTTGGAAATCGAATAAGATAAAATATCAAATAAAATACTTTAAAACATCGAAATTTAAAATAATATTCAAATCAGTCTAGATATCGAGAAAAATTAAAACATTATTCAAAGTAATATTTTCTAATAATAAACAATATACATTACATTCTGATATATCTTAGATCTCTTAATAGTTCTGCTCACCATATCTCCAATTCTATTAATAACAATTATACCATTGATCAAATTCTACTTATCATACGCCACATATGAATCACAAACGAATCGTAGTCATCGTATACTGAAGATGGAGCATTCCTTACTCATTACCGGAAATGCTGTAAATAAATTAAGAATTCTTGCAGCGAGGCATGATGTGTTTCGTTTGATCAATTTATTCCATACCATTTAATTTTATGGAAACTCGAGAATATCCTCGATTCGTTGTTTTTCAACATGATTGATGGGGCATCAAGGCTGCAACCTTTGCTTTCTCGAGGTTTCCGCTCATATGCTTTTAATCGATCACAGGTGGCCAGAACGTACTTCCGGCAAATAGTCAGAGCCATATCGTATTGCCATCGATTGCATGTGGTGCACAGGGATCTGAAACCTGAGAACGTGGTGTTCTTCGAGAAACTCGGTACCGTGAAGCTCACCGATTTCGGATTTAGCAATAGATTCTGTCCTGGTCAGAAGCTCGAGACTTCCTGCGGTTCCCTAGCGTATTCGGCGCCGGAAATCCTACTTGGCGATAGTTACGACGCTCCTGCCGTTGGTGAGTACGATAATATTGATTTGTTTCAAGCTATTTTTTTACTTGTGTCGGTGCTTTTGATAGTTTTAGAGATAAAAAAATGAAAATATATTCTTGAATGAAGCAATGGGGAAATACATTTAATTGTTTTTCATATGTTTTATTTGCGTCGTTGCGGAAATAAGGAAATGAAACAGTCATAACTTGTTACTTTCAAAATTACACAATTTAAAAAATAATAATTCTTGTATGAAATACTTTTGAACAATTAACAATATCAATATAATGTAATTATTATTTATATGGTTTACAATTTATAATTTTAATGGATTTTAAAATGAAAAAAAAAAAATGATTTGTGTTATCTTTTATGAAAATGTGTTGGTATAATTATAAAATGTTAGAAAGATAACGAATGAACATAGAAGCATACTAATTTGTTGAATATGTAAAAAACATTCTGCATAGTTGGAACATGTTAAACATAAAATATTTTTTTTTTATTCTTAAGAAATGATAAATATATTTCATGCATATCTAATATGCAAAATTTCTTTAATCTCAATTTAAAATAGAAAGAACCAATACCAAATTTACTGGCAATGTTTTATCAACTTTTTTACAATTTACAATTTTACATAAATGTAAGTACAATCCTATACCAAGTTGAATTCCTCTTATTCATTATTAAACTTGATTTTTAGCATATCAATGTAGATCGGCATTCTTTTTCAAGAGGGATGATTCTAAAGACCATTGTTACATTAATTTGTATTGTCATATCTTTATGTCATAATAACTTTCTCATTGTATTTGATGAGAATATCTATCAAGAATTAAATATAAATTTGCTATTGCTATTATCATCACTTTATTCCATTTTCTGAGATATATTTAATAAGATCAGATTTTCATTTTAGGTAACAAATAAGAGGAAATTAACTAATTGTAACTAATGATTAAATAAAGCAATATTTTAATATAAAAAAAAAACTGATTAAAGTCAAACTCATCTTGATATATTAACAATTAAAGTAATTAATCCATTTGAATATGAACACGCCTTGTATTCATCGTTCCAATTCGCATTTTCAGATGTTTGGTCACTAGGCGTAATTTTGTACATGCTAGTATGCGGTCAAGCGCCTTTCCAAGAGGCGAACGACAGCGAGACCTTGACTATGATCATGGACTGCAAGTATTCGATACCGCCACACGTATCCGACGGTTGCAAGCGTTTGATCGCGAGGATGCTCGTTAGGGAGCCAGAGGGCAGAGCGACGCTCGAGGAAATAGCAGCTGATCCTTGGCTGGCCATTGGACCCGACTTAGATTCGGTGGAAGCGCTGCCTTTGGTCTCGAGGCAACAGGTGTCTGATGATCATCATAATCATATAATAACTAAGATGGTCAACGGGAACATTGCCACCAAAGAAGAAATATTGGAGTAAGTATGTTTGTCAAATATTGAAGAAGCTCAAATATCTTATACGAGACAGAACAGAAACCAAATTGATCTATTGAAATTTGTATATTTTATTATTGAGAATCCCATCTTGAGATTTTTAAGACTTACAGTATAGAATTAATCTTTTAATCAAGTACTTAATACTACTTTACTTTGTTAAAATTATTTTTAATTATAGAGCTCTGGACAAGAACGAGTACAATCACATAACAGCAACATATTTCTTGCTAGCGGAAAGAAAATTACGAGCTCATCGTCAGGAACAGGTGCAGAAGACACGCCCGGAAATCCTCGAAGTATCGCCTAGGTATATTGCACACAAGCACAAAACTCGTTCATAAAGACAATCAAATATATATTAATCATTCTATACATTTAACTATCGGTTATTTTCAGCCGGCAAGATGACGTAGCCACTAATATGCGTACCGACCAAAATTCATTGAGCACAGTTAACCAATCGCTATTGAGTGTGCCACGGACACCGGGTGACGTGCCTCAGGTAAGTATTCGACGATATTTCTCTTTTAACGTACTATCGACTATACAGTGCATACAAGAATGCGACGAAGTAAATCGCGATTTATTATATGAACATTTTTTTTTAGAATAAAAAAGAAACGCTTGTTCTCGTTATAGAATATTCGAACGCGGAAGTGCAGCATCGTCCAGGAGGAAGAAGACGAGGACGATGTGTCCTCGTGCTCGGGTCGCGACGAACGCGGTAGCAATTCCACTTTGAACTCGTTCAATCGTCGTGGTTCCCGATCTGAGGGCAAATTGTCGCACATTCTGCAAGAGAGGCTAGCTCAACTTCCGGAGAAACCGAATCACAAGCCTATATCGTCCCAGCGGAACTCGCAAAAGGACATTAATGTGATTCCTGTAATCACGGACGGAGAGGAGCGACTGATGTCTAGTCCAAAGAGCGGAAAAAGCGATTCCTCGTCGCCTGTCCAACAAAAATCGGGGGTTAGACCTCAAGCGGGCAATCAGCTCGCGGACAAAGTACCTGCAACAACGAAATTCGACTCCACGAATCAAGAGAACCTGAAAAATCGTTTCGATGATTCGTTGCCCGGCTGGTCGAGAAGGGGATCTTCGGAAAACAGGCCGAAATCGGTATCGGACTGTTTAAAATCGATGGGACCTGTCCCAGCGAACAAATGGAGGATGGGATCGCAACACCGATCCTCTGCCTCGTCGCTGGACTCTTCGTTGACGATGAGCCCGTCGAAACCGTCCGAAGCTAGCACGACGACCACCACGACCACTATCCTAACAGAGTCATCCACAGTGTCGATTCCTTTAAGACCATTGACCGGGCTCAACGATAATCTATCATTAACGCCTAAATATAAAACCATGCCGTCACCAGGAAGTACTGGTTCTACATCCACACCATTAAATGAAATTCTAGAAGACGGGGACGCGTTGCCTCTATCCGGCAGCGAGAGCGGTGGTTCCAAGTGTCGGGTAGTCAGAAGAACGGGATACGAGCAGAGAAAGAGCAAGTTTCACAAGACGCGTACAACCTCCTGCTCGAGTTCTGACGCTAGTGACGACGACAGTGAGAGTAGGAAGAAAAGAGCACACAAATTGAGCACCTCTGCGAGCAAATCGATGTCTTCTCGACGTGACAGTCACGACGATTCTAGCGATTCGCAAGATCCTGGAGGGAGCGGTGGGGGTGAGGGTGGGGGTGGTGGAGGTGGAGGAGGTGTAGGAAACGGGGAGCGAACAACGGAAACACCACCAAGTGAAACGAATCGCAAAGACAATGGAAACAACACGAATACCACTACCACAACGACTACAACGACTGGGGGAAGACATCGGTGCTCGGAAAATCAGGTTATATTCGGCAGAAGACATCGTGCAGGTAGGAGAAGAGCCGGTGAAACGCGGCTACGCGAGAGTCAGTCTTTAAACCGCATCACGGAAGTCCAAGAAGCGGAAGGACCTTCGGCGTGTCATAATCATCACGTGTCTCGCAACTCCGCTGTTCTAGGAGTTCAAAGCATGTCCTCGTCGTCGTCGTCAGTGTCTCAGAGCAGTACAGGTTCTCATGGAGTTCCTCAGCCCTTATCTCAAGCAGCAGCGACTGTCCAAAAGGCCAAAGGTTTCGGAGCAAGGCTTCTGCAAAGTTGGTCTCTCAGCGCCGGCAAGTCCTCGTTGTCTCAATCCTCGAACAAACACACGAATTGTAGCCCCAACGGCAGATGTACCAAACAAGAAGCGCAACGGGATGCTTGCCAGAGGATCGAGATGTGCGACGAAAGGGAATTGAATGGTGGCTCGGTTAATCAAATACCGTCCAACGACAAAGAAAATAGAAACGGGTCAATGAATAGGAACGACTGCAAGAACAGGAAAATCCGGTTGCTTAGTCGATATTTCGCCGTGCACAAGAAACTTTGTGTTCCATTGCCAGGATTGTTCGGTAAAGGGCGGTTGTACAAGGCTCGATCTTGCGGTAGCATTGCTCGGGACCGTGTCAGTCCACCGTCGCCGAAATCCATGTTGTTTTGCGCCACGACCGACGACAAGTGGCGGGATCGTCGACAATGGTGCGACGTGAAGCATCAACATCGTGGCAGCGATGGGGACATCAATCAGAACTTGGGTCTGTCGCATCTGGTTCAAGAGAGCGTGGTAGGTAAAGGTTGCAGCGCGTTGCCCGCGGTTTGCCACATCCACCTGGGCGATGCATCCAAATGTTGTAGTCTCTGTTGATGAATCTGTACGGCGAGTAGATTGATGCACAAACGACGACGGAGAAAGACACCGTGGGTCGCGTAATTTTGACCTGAAGTCGCTGGAATCATGGTCGAAGCGACCGTAGACGAGAATCGTCACTGTTCCATGACGAGTAATGATTGCTTGCGATCAGGAAATGGAGAGGAGGCGCGAAGAAGAAGACGCAAGGGAACGTAAGAAGACGTAAGGAGATACGATTATACGAAGTGCAATCAATTTCATGATGGTCGTTTTGCGTGCAGAGAGGGAGAAAGGAGAGTAGAAGGTGATGGAAAGGAAGATACGCAAGAAGACGTGGTGTGACACGATTAAACGCAAGATAAGGAGGATCTTCTGTACGCGATGCGTCGTGTTGATCGTGTAGTTAACAACCGCGGTCTCTCAGCCGATTACGCAGCACGCGTCACAATGGTCAATGTATTCAATCGATCGTGTCGTGTCCCCTCCAATAGACCGATGCTGTACCAAGAGTATCCCGATCCTGTTCTTTTCAAACGCGACGCGTAATCGAAAGAGACTAGAATAATAAGGGTCATGTCGGAGAGGGAGAGAGCGTTATCGATCGATCTTTCGCTCTGCGGGAAGTGTATCTAGTCCGTGTGAACAAACCTATATTAAAAATTACAGAGTTTATTATTATTAATATTATTATTATTGATATTTTATTATTATTATTATTATGATTATTACTATTGACTATAATTATTAATATCGTCATTCTCTTAGTTATTGTAATGCAGATATCGACCGAATCGCACGCAGAGTCGCGAGGGAAAAAGATCATCCGACATCCATGGACATTGGAATCTCGCAATCTCGAAGAGTCTTCTTCTTTGTTCCGCTTTATTTATCTGTCTGTCTCCCCATTTATCCTTCTCTTTATCCTTCTCCTGTTCCTTCCATGGATTGCGATCTTGCTACTTTTTCCTACGTGTAACGTAGAAAAATATATTCGTGGCTGTTGCGCGGTAGCGTGCTCCAAGAGTGAACAAAACTCGTGTTCCCGTAATGAGGGAGACTATACTTCTATATGTAACACGCTAATCGATTAAGCTTATGCGTATAGCGTATCGATCGAGGAACGTCTTCTGTGGTGCTATACGCGAAGATCTGACGCGACGAAGAAGAAAAAAAATGGAAAAAAGGAAATGGAAGATATTGAATTTTTTTAACTATCTTTTTTATATTATTATTATTATTATTATTATTATTATTATTATTATTATTATTATTATTATTATTGTTATTATTATTATTATTATTATTATGTCCTAGGGGATAAATACGATGATACGATACGAATGGAAATGATGGAAGATGTGCATAGGAAAGGAAGCATTGAAACTTTTCAGAAGAAAGTTTGAATGTGAAAAGTTCATAATCTAAACTTTCAGTTTTATAGAGTGTTCAAATAACAGAAAGAGAAACAAAGTGACCTGAATAAGAGTAAAGTTGCTGCTACAACTTTTAAAGTAAGGTACAAGGTTTAAGAAAATATATAACTTTGCTGCCACAAGGGCATAAAAATCAAAAAGTTTTGCCCATCGATCATCTGTTAGTTAAATCAATGAACAGAGACTGTTATATGTCAAGAGATTGTTATACTTGACTTGCTTTTTTTTTTTTTTTTTTGTAACTGTAAATCACAGTTATAAATCAAAAGAAAAGCTATTCTTTAAAAAGATTCATCATTGCGATACCAAAGCGACAATATAAAGATCTGGAAATTCTTTGAATTGAAAAAGAAATGAGATCTCCTAGGACAAATTTTCGTGATTGAAAGATCTGCATATGCACGATTTCTTCTCGTCGTCAAGTTCAAGAGACGATCCTCTTCATCCATCGAAGCTATTGGCAGCAAGTGTTAGCGCGCTTGCCGGCTGAGCGCGTACTTCATTCTTCATCCTCTTCATTTTGAACGTCATCGTCATCGTTGCCGAATGCACGCGTTCATTTTGGTGGAGAACGTAGGATGACCGATTGTTGCTTTATGAGTAATATTTGCTGAAACAGGAACTGTAGAGTTAGAATGTGTAACTGGAAACTTATCCATGACAAAATACGCTCCTTTTCTGCGTCGATCAATAAAGCTGCTGAAGATTAGGTCAGATAGAACTTTGTGGAACTTCACGGAACTCTGTAAATTGTTTGCTTCGAATATAGAACGCGGAAGCCATTCGGCAGAATTCTCGTTGAATTAAAGCGATGTACGTGCACACGCTTTTTCACCTTTTATATATGTATATATATATATGTCACCATGATGAGGTGGTGCATCGATTGAAGATCGAAATTGTGTATTTGTTTTAATAGCATAATAGAAAAAAAGTTAGGTATTTAACCCCTTGTCTTTGAACATTAAGTAATGCATGGTAATAATTAATAAATTTAAAATAAATTTAATAAAATTTATGTTGAATTTTTTATTTTCAATATTTTATTTCATCATAAATCAATTGTTTAAGTTGCACATTAAATGAATAATATTTTTATATTATTTTCACGTTAACATTTACTAAGTAATTACTAAAGCAAGGGGTTGTAAAGAATAAAATATGTTGAATATTTCGTAAATTTATATTTCTAGGACTTACTACAGCGATACATTTTTAGAAAAGATATATTTCTTTCATATTGCAGTTTAAGGATTCATTGGTATAATGGTAATGCTTGAAGGATTTATAACAAATACAATTCTTGTCAAATTTTAATTATGACTTGATTTAATATTTATATTGTTATTTATAATTTGATTTTCTAATAAAGAAAATTCAAATCTATTGAATAAAAATAAAAAATATCTTTTTATTATTGAAAAAGATAAAAATTGACAAGTGTCGTTTTTCTATAAATCCTTCAATTTTTCTTAATTGATTGATGTTTTCTAAGAAAGAGTTACTAAGTAGTAATGCTGGATAACTATTTGCTCTAGTTGTAAATCACTGTCAGTATTTTTTACTGCAATATAGTGCGTTTGTGACACTCTAAACATATCTATAACAATTTTTCAATATGTAGATAGAGTCGTAGGAGTCGTTTGTGCCATTTAGTCTCCTTTTCTAAATTCGCTGTATATGATATATAACTATTGTTCGTTGACATAACACAATCTAATTCTAGATATAAATTTAGAATTGAAATTTAATATCACAACAGGGACCACATCATCGCAGTCCAAAATTCGTCTCATTGCTTTCATAGATTAGAAGATAGAACAAAAAATTAGAATAGAAATGATGAATAATTATTTTATACATATAATGTTCCTTTCTTCTTAATGATCTTACTATACATTTTACCTTTTTACAATTTTCAAAAATGTTCGAAAGTAAGGATGTACGTATTAGTTAGTATTGATGAAAATCCGAGAATGAAAATCTTTTCTAAAAAAGAATTGCTTATGCTCAGAGTCCTCGAATGCTAATTATTATTTAGTTCTATTCTTCACGGAAATCTAAATTTTTATACGTTTAGTGGATACTATATTTTTATTATTTATTATGTTATAACAGAATTTTAAAATATTATTTTTATTATTCTCTATTCTATTTTTTTCCCCCCTATTCTACACTTGCATTCATTAGTATCATATGTATAATTAATTTTAGATTAATGATTAATTAATAATGTTTTATGCACAAGGCATTATTAATTAAACTGAATAAATTAGTATGTATTATAAATTTTTTCTTATAACTTTTCAGAAAAACTTTTATTTTGTTTATATTATACACATATCATTACAGAGAATGTGTTAAACCAATATTAAAAACCAACGTTTCCCGATAATATTTAGTTTTGCGTATTTTATAAAAAGCAAAGCCGACAATCCGATCTTCGATTTTCGAATAGCACCTCATTAATGGTTCGACGTTTCATATCCCTCCCAAATAGGCCAAGAGCGTTTGTATGTACCTAAACTGTACATCAGGTGTACGAATCCATGCGTAAAACTGTATGTACCGAGCCAGATATTTTTTAGTAATACAATTTATTTATTATACGTCATGTGAAAAAAGAAAGAGAGAATGAGCGAGCGAGAAAAAAAAAGGACGATCTTTTCCAATCGTCACTGCCGACGATCGTCAATCCCCTCCCCCTTTTTCGTTTTTTTCTTAATTAATACAACTTCTCTCACCCTCGTATCGTAACTTCGAGAACGAGATCGTTTGCTTCCTTCATAAAGACTGAGCAAATCGTACAATAAATTTCCATAATCGCTTGGATGCCTTGTGTCGTACGATGACGATGACTCGACGAGAACCAAAAAAAAAAAAAAAGAAAAAAAAGAAACAAACGAATCATACGTCGAATATAATGTCACGAGTAAAATCACCCTTCTTCGATCACGTTTTATTCGAATCGTGATAGTGCTATCGAATGTGCACCTTATCCTATAGGTGAATTGTTAAGAAAAAAAAATAATAATAATAATATTAAAAAAAAATAATAATAATAATTTACATTCAACGAATTTGTTCATCGTTTCGAGTCCCAACGAATCGCGACCAAGGTGTAAAACGGGCATTAAAACTATTTCCATTCAATGGAGATTTAAGAAAAGAAGGTGAAGGGAAGGATAAAGAGAAAAAAAGAGTTAAAAGGAAAAGAGAGCAGGGAAACCATGACGCGTGAATTTTGCTATTTAGCTGTAGAGCTATCCGGAACCAGAGTGACGTGCTTTGTTACCGGGCATTATGGTCACGGTGGTGAATTCAAGCTTGACCAATTACATATACTTACACACAGACACATACATACACAAATATACTTTCCCTTTGGAACAATCGTAGAATTGTACGCCGTGTGTCCGTTCAGTTCGATCACTTTCTACGCGAATATTAGAGATACCTTTGCAAATCCGCGAGAAAATAGAAAAAAGCAAAAAAAGAAAGAAAAATAAAGAAATTAAAAAAAAAAATCGTTGAATGTATGCCTGCAGCTGCAAGTAACCAGTAGCGATTCTTGCATCGAGTTATCCGCTCGAAAAAAATTTCCTGCGCGACGCCATGTTGTCCCAAAGCGGATGCTATTTATGATAAATAAGAGATATTTTCGTGTTATAAAAATGAATCCATTAGCGGCGAAGCGCCCATTGCGATGCGTTGTAAGAAAGGTGAAAGAAAAGAGAGAGAGAGAGAGAGAGAAAGAGAAACAGAGCACGATAATAATAAATGATAACGAGGATTCGGTCGAAAGGGTTGTCAAGGAGATGCCGCTTCGTACAAATTGACGAAGCGTCGTTCCACGTTAATTCTCGTTCGCTAGTCCCGTCAAAGTTGTCGCTGGACAACTGGATACGCATAGAGTACAATGTTCCCGTGGTGATTTTTGTATAAGTGAACATAAAGTATCCCTCCCTTTTTTCCACCGATGCTGTACACATCCATCAAGCGCCCGTGTCTTGATTTTAAGCGAGGATGAAAATGCGAAGACGAAAAAGAAAAAAAAAAGAAAAGAAAGAAAAGAAAAAAAAATGAAAAATAAAAGAGAGTATATACATATTAAGAAAAGTGTCCGCTTTAGATTTCGTAAATGTCAAACTTACTGCCAGCTGAGTGTAACAAAGAAATAATAAAAAAAAAAAAAAGTATAAAGATCCATTTGCGTGAGCCGGTAATGAAGACGACATGTGTCGTTGCAATGTGCCGGAAACGCATAATCATTCATGCAATAAACTGTGTGCCCGAAACGAATAAATGAAAAAAATAATAATAATGAAACACGAGGAGCGAGTCTCTACTGATGTTGTTTCTAAGTTTCTTCCACGTTGATTTTCCTTTCCTTGAAAATTTCTTTTTATACTTTTCAAATAACAGCAGGAGCATGGATTAAGATAGAGAGAATGAAGATTGCGGTTGCTCAAGGCTGAATTGAATCACCCTTCCTTCTCGCCAATTCTTAAGAGACATCTCTAGTCGTTCATTGATATCTTCTGTGATATTTATGCTGTTTAAAAAAAACATGTGGTAAGAGTTTGGCGCCTTTCCTTGGTAATTATTTTTTTTTATAGACGTAGCAACTGTGGAAGCAAGGATCGTATTTAGAATAATGTATGGCGGGAGGAATGGCCTTGAGTGGCCGACATTTTTAGCTTAGAAAGCCACGTTTAGATTAATGAAAAAAGTGTCTTGAATTCAAGTTTGCGTTTATAGAAGTTGCCCGAGTTGTTTGAATTGAAGCAACCTGGTTTTAAATAACAAATGTTTAATATTTAATGATTGAATATGAAGCATCATCAAATTATAATGCTATATTTTCAATAGTTCTATACTATAATCTAAAATAAAACGTTCGTATATCGTTAAAATAACCTAAAATTATTTAAACTTGAGCAACTTGAAATCAAACGAGTTAATTAACATCAATGAGGCTTGACATAGGATAAAAGATAAAAGAATCATGTTTTTTAAAATCAGTTAAAATTTTTATGTTCAATCAAGAATATTTATAAAGTAGGAATTTTATTAAAATTACAATCGTCTTTCGCAGGGAAGATGATCATATAACTTAAAGCTGTGACCACGTTTAAAAATAACATTGTACTTGTTTATCGTCAACAATCGATCATCGAATGGTGTGACGCCTTGGATATACGTGTTATCAATGGGCGGTTTCGTCACACAAAAAAATATATATATGTATATATACATACGAACATATTGGTCGATGCGACTACAATTACTCGGATAGCCAAGCGACTGCACCAGCGCGCACTTCCGCTTGCAGTATTACCTTTTGATCAATTTTCGGCTTGCTGGCACGCGTTTAAATGTGACTCTTGGCAACGTAATTCCAAGATTCGAAATCGTGTTCCAAGACGTTTCACGCCGCGTATTTCACAATGTTAATATGATCACTCATCGCTCGAACTATCCGAGTATTATTATTTATACGCATATATATGATACAAACTTGAGATAGTTTATTCGATACAAAAGCTATACGATGTATTATCAACACGAGTAAATGCATATGAACGATTTGTTTCTAAAACAAGTCATGGAAAAACTTGGCTGACTTGGTAACGAATAAAAATAAAAAATATTCGATTTCTTGATAATCATATAGGAACCGGAATGTTCGATTTGTTCATTCATATAACAATCTTCAGAGCTATGTAACAAACTGCAGATATTGCAGTCAATTTAATATCCTGTGCTTATATCGAGACACAGAGTTTTTGGATGACGAAAGCTCGAGGTAATTCATAATACAGTGACAATGACAATAATTCTGTTCATCCTTGGTAATGGAAGAACGTGAATATATGTGCGTACACTGGATTTATCGATAAAATACATGTACAGTATTACGTGGAAATTGCAGTTAAGTTAAAGACTTCTTCTTTCTCTATACTTATAGTTTTATTTAAAATCGATTCTTAGCCTATTCAAAGTTTTCCCTCACAATATTATATTTAAATATATTTATAAATATATAATATTTCATTTTAAAATTATTTAACAGCCATATATATAATTTTTTTTTTCATTGTCATGTAATCAATGATTAATTCATATAAATATTTTTACATTTAGTAAGAAATGTTTATAAATGAAATAACTTCTGATGACCGTATTATGCTTATTCATGCTTCTAAATATGTAGCCTCACATATTTTATATTTTAGAATAGGAAAATATTAACAATTTATTTATATTATTATTCATTTTTATACTTATATAACAAGTTTCTTTATATGTGTTAATATTAATTTTGAACAGATATATAACAAAGATTATATATCGTTCTTTCCCATAATACTGTACTTGTAATTAAAAATAGAAGTGAAAAACACTTTGGTTTATTTTTGGAAAATTCACTGATGCCTGTGGCTGAAAGAAACGTTCAAGATTTAGTGTAAGTAATTGACGTTCATTCGCCAGACATTTTCGTGTGTTTTATGCCACAGTAAATCTGAAGATCCTTGCATTTCTCAAATGTTTAATAAGCTTTTGAAGAGCAATCGAATCTTTACGACTCAGCAGCATGATGGTTCGCGTATTGGAGTGCTTTTTTGCTATTTTCAACAAATTCCTAAAATAAAAATAGGTAGAAATGAAAATTGCGAATAAAAATATAATATAATACAAAAAAAAAAATTCAAATTAAAAATAGAAATTAATCACCATCAATCCTCGACTCATAAAGTAAGGCCTATTGATGCCATCATTCTTCTCGCAATCTTCGCAGAAACAAATGAATATCGTATCTATGATCATCTATAAGAAAAAAAAAAAAATAAATAAATAAGTAAATTTCACAATTATACATAGTTTTATATAATTAAAATTAAAATTAAAATTATTTCTTCGAGAGAATTAAAGATAAAGAAAATTCTCAAATCTACCTTTTGAATTTTGATTTCAAATCATATTAGACTATATTTTACATTATTATTATTTTATTTTATTTAAAAAATTACCTCATAGATGGAAATAAAGCAATGCGCCACTATGAAAGCAAAAACTCCAGCCAATGCAATTGGTATCCATGGATAATGGAGTCCTTCTTTCTTCTAAACACAAAATAAAATTAACAAATCTATTTTAATAAAATAAAAGATTATGAATAAACATCGATATACCTGAATTAAATAAATTCCTGAAACAACTGTTAACGTAACTACCAACACTTTTCCTAAAAACAGGACAAAATCTCCAACACTATTAATAGCTGCAACTCTTAATATATTGCTGGACAAGGCTTGGAAAGCCTTTTTACCTCCCCTACAAAAATTACATCCGTATATTGCTGAAAAAAAAAATTAATAAAATATACCAATAAGATTTAGGAAAATTTATTAAATATTTATTAAGAAAAAAAAAGTATTATTAAATTTTATGTACAATACCTGTTTCGATATAAGCGTTCCTAGTGAGAAACTTTAAAACGCATTCGAAAAGCCAGAAACAACAATGGCAGCACCATAATATTACTCGTACGAGATCATTATCGTAATGTTTCAGACGATTTTGTACGAATAAAATAACAGCTCTTATCAATCGAACTATACCAATAATCAGTGCACCAAATGCGACCGTGCCCAAGTGATATCGTGTGAGATAGCAAAAACCACGAGCGACTGGCAGAGAGAGATGGTTCTTGTCTCTGTTCAAACAAATTTTTTGTTTATAATTTAATGAGATATACGATTTATCCATGATTAGAATTAGTTTCTATCGAGGAAATTTACGAAATCACATTTTCCTTTCTTATTTTTTTCTCAAACTTATTATCGTAATAATTTTTATTTATCAGACATTAAATCTCTTATTAAAACTATTACAATGAACAATTTAAATTAAGAAAGACTTAAGTCTAAGAATTTTCATCAAAATGATGATTGATTAAAATTTGATAAAATCGTTTTCAATATAATTTTCAAAATTATTTAATTATTTATTCCTTATAATTTAATTTCACTATAAAAATCTTAATGTGAAATATGAAGTCTGTTTATATATAGTCAAAGACAAATTGTATAATCAGATAGAGAATAGTTCACGTGTGAACCATAATATCGATCATTGTGTCACCTGGTGAAGAACCAACGTGCAACAGCGAGGGCAACAACCATATGCTGGCAACCTAGAAGGAATTCACAGGTGACGAAGAAGAAAAAGATATTGTACCATCTACTTGCCTGGAAAATATTAGCTTTCTATTATTTCTGTTTTTATAAAATTTTAATTCATAATCACTTACAATCACAATGCTATCTTTCCGGAAATGGATGTGATCCTTCTTGTTCTTATAAATATTTCCTGCGCTTTCTATCCAAAGCATGCAGTAAATCCAGGCACATACAGTAATACCGATCAAGAGATAAGTCTGAAAAGTAATTTTATATATTTTAAATATTCTTTTGAGTTAATTAATTCTAGAAGATTCAAAAAAAAAATGATATCAATAAAAATGATTCAAAATCATTTTTCCACTAAATTGAAAATAAAATTCAGAAAGGTAATACTTTTCTTTATATTATAATGTTTTTGTTATTGAAGAAATTCTTGTTATGAAAGAGAAATATAGATATTAATGTAGAGTGGACAGTTTCTACTAATAAATTGTATTTTCTCCATACATTTTTAAAATATTTATTATTGTTATTTACTTGACTCAGATAAATTTTGATTAATAACTTTTGTTACATGGCTGAAAAATCGCATATCGCTTTAATAACCTATATAAATGATTAATTTGAATATGCCACTATTTTGAATTTATGCGATTTTCTATATATTATTTCTCTTTGGGAATATTTTATAGCAAAATAATTGTCTATTTTATAATAACTATAATACTATAAAAAATAATTATAGTACGTTATATAATATACATAGTATGTTATGAAAGAAATATTATAACAACGATAAAAGAATAAAAGATTCAATGTTTGACCGAATTTTTATTCTTAGTATTAGAATTTGATATCTCCCAAGATTCCTTAAACTATTTTTCCAATAATATTCGATTACAACGCCAAGAAATATTCTATTTCTTTGCCACATGTCACGAGGATTCAAAGAAGAAAAGAATGAAATAAAAATTGACAGAAATATGAAGTACCAGTTTCCATAACATGGAATGGCAATAAAATCGTACACGTAAGATAAAATAAAGATAAGAAAATACAGTATATAAAAATAAGAAATTCAAATATATTTCACATGTACGAAGAAGAGAAAAAAATCTTATAACAGCTTTGGATTCGTCGATGTGTTATGAGTTTATCAGAGAAATGCTTCAAGTGGACAAAAATGTTGCCTCGCCTCAGTATGTATTAGTCTTATCAAATATTTACGTATATAGGCTGGAGAAGGAGGACCGGCATTGCGTAAACAGCTTTTCCTGCTTCACGGAACAGTTGCATTACGAGAGCGATTCTTTTTCTCATCACCAAAACGATCAAAAGTGTGATGACCTGTAAATTATATCAAATCAATTAGATCGATATTGTATTATTTAAGTTTTAAAAATTATGGATGAAAGGTAAGATTTTTAAATTATTTTTAATAAAATCTTAAATAATGATCATTAATTTTTTCAAAATAATATTTTAAATTTATATGAAAAAATATTTTTTAATGTACAGGTATCTCAAAGGTATCTTTTTGGTCATCATGGACAAAATGTTATGTGTTATATAAATCTTCAAAGATTGAGAAAAAAAGAAAAGATGATATTTATCTAAATTTAGTAAATTTATTAATTGGAATTTTAAAATTAATAAAAATTTAATAAAAAATGCAATTTTTAATATATCTTTTTTGAATAATATTTCAACACATTTTAAAATAATTATAAGTGAAGCAAAAATAAAATTTATAATTAAAGTAACAATATTTCCTACCGTAATAACAGTCAACGTGATTGCATAAATGAAGTAAGACTGTTCACTCGAGTCTTCTTCTACTATTTTGTGTGCTTCTACCGCTTTTTTTTCTGCATACCACGCTAACCTGTGCAAACAACATTTTTCATTCAAAATCCATCGGTTCCAACACAATTCTCAATCATGAATTTTCTTCAGAAATAACGAATTGATAGTCATGTACTCTATCTATTTTTAAATAAATCTAAAAAATAAATTAAAAGTAAACAAATCTTACCAGAGATACGTTGAACCACCGATGCAAACTAGAATAACACCGATTAAGACCATATAAACAACCCATTGTACTAAATAACGGAAGGCGACCAAAATAGCCACTGAAATGCCTGAAGAAGAATTTAAGAAAAATGAATTTCTTGAAAAAGAAATTTTAATAAGAATTAAGAAAAAATGAAACTTATACCTAAAGCGATCAACAATAAGTAAACAATCTCCCTCCAAGCGACAGTAAGATCTCTGCAAGCCTCCTGAAAAGTGAATTTGTTTTTGTGAAAATATTTCAGAAAATTAATTTAGGGCTAAGAGATAATGAAGTTTGATAAAGTTTTTTGGAATTAAATTGTTCTTATTAAGTTTACGTAAGTTCTTTAATTTATCTAACACACAGATTACATTTCTTATATTGATTTTCCCATTGGAAGTTTAAATAATTCGTTTATTCGTTTTTTATTCCATGTTAAAGAAATGAAGGTTTAATTAATAATTGATGATGTAAAATTAATTTTTAATTTTGTTCAAATAAGAAATGTACAAACCTTGTAAAAATTATCCAAACCGAGTTTATTAATCAGAGAAGTGATTGTTTCAGATATATCCTTAGACACACAACGGTTCAGGAACACTATATGTCTAAAATATAAGAAATAAGAATCATGTAAAAATAATTTTATTAAAAAAAATGGAGGAATATTGATCGAATCTCAATTTTTTTTTTTTCAATATTACTATTCATTTTCATTTCAATATAGTATATAGTTTAGTTAACAAAAAATATAAATTTGCATAAATATCCATAATTTAACAAAAAGTTTTATTTCTTCAAATCTGAAGATTACTAACACGAATATATATATATATATATAGATACATTTAATGCATATTATAGATTTAAATGATTGAATTCTTTGGAATTAACGGAAATAAAAAATTATTTAAAAAGGACGTTTTAAACAAAAGAATAAAGAAAGGATTAGTTTCTGTATAAAAAAAGAATTTAATAAAACTTTGACAAAACGAGGTCGTTTTTAGACAACTTTTCTCAATATTCCTTCACATTTCACTACATATAAATCATGAAATACTAACTGATCGGTGCAATTGTTTGTGCACTTGCGTTTCACACCGCTTCCATCCATGGTGATCTGCAAGTACCTGTGGGAAATGAATAATGAATGAGCAAACGGGTGTTAACGAACGACCACAGCGAAAAGTGTCTCTGGAAATTGGAAAGTCACCATTCGGTATGTATTTTCTATCCTGTATCGAATTTATATGCAATGTTCACGCTAATTAACCACATTATTTCAGACGGCTAAGTTCTCCGTTGAGATTTTACAAATAATGAATGAATGAACTATGGGTGAAAAAGGATTGGACAGAATAGATTGAATTTTTTATACGTATTTTAAAGAAAAGGAAATGAAATAGAATAAATCTTTATTTTTATATGAACTAAGATAAAATAAAACGTTAATTGCTTATAATTTAATAAACAAGTCTCGACTGATATTGTATTTGTCTTGGCTTTTTTTTAAAATTAAATCATTAAAGGATATGTCTCAGAAATACATTGTTATCTGTATTAATTAGTAATATTTCAATAAATTTCTTATGAATTTTTTGCATTACGTTTTGTTTTAGATTTAAAAGAGATTTATTTATTGAATCTGATTCCATCACTAATCGTGGCATGCATGTCTATAATTTCACATATTTGCGTGCTCGAAACACCATCGCGACACCTCGCGGCCGAGGAATTATTAATATCGTTAGCGGATCCTATTGTCGTGAACTTGTTTCATTCATTTGGCCGTCGACATGGAATATTGAATCCGGCATTGTTGTCGGGGTTATGAAGTTCGATGTTAATGCGCCGACGAATTATTAATCCTTTGGGAACGATGGCTCTCTACGTAAAGGTTTGGATATCGCGAATGTATCCACCAGGCAATGGTATGCGCGGATATTTCGATAGATTGTTGTTGGTACTATAGATATTATCGTTAATGTTTATGAGGATAGAATGGATTGGAAATCAGTGGTGAGTAGTTGATATTAATTTCGATTGTCGTGTAAGAATGTGTTTTCTATGAATGGAAAAATAATTGTAGATTTTTATTGTGTAATTTTTTTTTATTAGAAACAGGTTGAAAGTTTAAAGTTTAAAGTTTCTATAATAAACTAATAGGATAAAAAAGTTCATTTTCTGTCGTTTCAGCGATCAAAGTTTGTGTTGAGAATTAATATAAAATATAAAATAATTATTTAAAGTGAAAGAATTATGAGTGGTTTAATTTAATATTCTATAATTTGGAGTATATAATTTAGATAGACATTATTTATTTTATTTTGAAAAAGAAAGACTTCATAAATCATAATTTAATTAAAACAAGAAGAAAAATAAAAGTGTAATTATTTAAAGAAAATATGAAAATGTTGTAAAAAGAATGATATAATTTATAAATATTTCAAAAATATTTTAAAAAATAGTATTTCACGTATCTGTTAAATGAAAAAAAGAAAGAGTAATACAATTGACAATTTCTTTTTAAATTATTAAAATTTCGAATAAATACATGAATAATAAAATTCAAATCTTAATTTTTATACCATGAAAATATTTTCATTCTATTAAAAATTAATAAAAAATATAATCAATATCTACATTATTAATAAATATTGTTTGCTTTTCTATTTTTATAATTTCTTGTAATTTATTCCTGAAAAATGTCATATTAAAATTTTAGATGCTGGAAAAATTCCAAATTTGATCAAGTTTTCTACATCCTCTTTTGAATAGTGAACGGATCCAACCATTAATGTCTTTATCGAAAATATGAGACTCTTGCAGTGTGATAGCATACATGCATAACCGGTGTTTCATTCATATGGATTCTTCGATATTTAAACGAAAAGTATTATAATTCATACAATAATGTCATTTTTTAAATTTATTAAAATCATTTACATTAATTATTTATCATTATTATTATAAAGAATAAATCTCAAGCATGTATAACACGATAAACTTTCAAAGAATCTTAAATGATTCATAGAAAATCGTAATGAGTTTTAAATAAGATTAAGAAATAGCATATTTTATGATTTTTCTGTGTTTTTCATTTTAAATGAAAATTTAAATTTTATAGATATTTATTCCCATAAATTTAAGTAAGTTCTTTTTTTTCTCTTAAAGTAAAATGTTAGGACGAATCGAATACAAGAAAATTCTTAATTAATGAAATAAATAATTGTATTAAGTTTCTTTTAAATTAAAAAATATATCGTCATGTCTCTTTCTGTCTTCTTTTAATTAAAGTAAGACATTTTTTTACTTTTCAATTTATATTGAAATATTTTAAGTTCTATGCATTCTTTAAACTCTATTATACAGTTTCTTCAAACCAATAGGGGATGTTTCAAACAAGATAAACTATATATAGTTTTCACTTATATTTTGAAATATAGATAACAGTTATTTTAATTAAAGTATCCTTGTTTCAAACAACAAAATTCCAGATAAACGAAACACCCTGTATACTTGTATCATCGAAGCTCCAGGCTGTAAGCCATTTTATAGAAAGCGTGCCGACGTTTCGCCATTGCGGCTAACTTCATTATCCCTGGGTATCAGTGGATCCCTTGACACCTGATGAAGTTAGCCGCACTAGTGACGACACGTCGCCGTAACACTGTTTCCAAAAGAACAAATCCAATAATGTTATATTTCCTTCTTTCCTTCCTTTTTTTTTTCCCCTCCTTTACCCCCTCATTCACATCACACTTCGCGTCACACACACATATATATCGATCATCGAACAGGGGTTATAACTTGTAATACTTACGGATTCTTCGTGTTGTCACCATTCTTACCATCCGGGCATTGGAATTCGGGATGAAGCGGAGTGACACGGCCACAAACATTCCCGCAGTCATCGTAGCCATTTATAATGCGATAAACGTCTCCTTTCTGAACAACGATGCTCAACAGGAAACCCTGTGCAACAAGAAAACGTTGTGTGCATTTTCCACCGGTATTGTATCGTGTGTTTCGATCGTGTGGAAATTTAAGAGAAAGAGAAGAGAATAGAGGATACACACATACACACTCATATATATATAAATAGTATATAAATAGGAAACGTACGAAACCGATGATCAGACCGATTAGAATGATCAAAGTGAGGATATCAGTGCAGGATCGATCGGTGACGAAAATCTGGTCCGAGTGCCTTGACGACATCCCTTCGTTTTCCGGTGTCTGAAACGGAAAGCATACGAGGATCGTGACTGTTTTACCGAAAATCGTGTCAAGCTTCACTTTTTTCCCCCCTCCTAGGTAAAAAGTTGTAATATCTGTTGGCAAACAGGTAAATCAAATTCCAGGTGAGTGTAAGTTTTCCAGTTTCATTTCAGGTTATATATGAAATGTTTAAATGGTGAGTTATATTTTTTTTATATCATATAAATATATGTGGAAATTTAATATATATTAGATGAATTTTTGTGGATATAAAAACGAGACGTGAAAACGTTCAATTACAATAATAATAATTTTTATTAATTTAATAATAAGAATTATTCAAGAATATGTTTTATTGAAGAATTGTTTAATTTTAATTCAAGTTTAATATAGAAAAATAGCTTGTTTTCGTTAAAATTTAATTAAAATAATCTTTTAAAAATATCATTAAAAATTCTTCGTTTTCTTCTTTAATTTTTCACATTAAATCGATCAACGGTGAATTATCGAAAATAGATGATTTTTAAATAGATGAATTGATTGATAATCCAAGAATCAGGATGAAAATATTCGCTTATCTAATCTTGTTACTGTCTATATTCCGCTTCTCTTTTCGAATTGATGAAATTTTTATCTCATCAAAAGAAATTGTTTAATTTTACAAAAATTTCATAATTAAAAAAATAATACGTGCATTTTTATTAAATTTAAAATATTTTTAAATTTAGAGATATGATTAAATTGAAAAGAATTTATGAATTACAAAAAAGTTGAAAATAGGTTAAATTTGATTTTCTAATGAATGAAATAAAAATGAATAATAATGAAATAAAAATTTATTTTATAATTTTAATTCTTAAACGCATAGCACGCTTTCATTTAATAATTATGTATATATTTTCAAATATATATGAATATAACAGATATTTAACAATATAATAATAATTTATCATATAATAATATAAATAGAATTATTATATATATCATTACATCGAAATACATTAGAAATTGTATTATAATCAACAAAATAATTAATTTATTGCATATTCGTGGTTTACTATTTATTATTATATATTACATATATATTTTAATTATTTGAAATAGCATTCTTTTTGAAATAGAAAATAAGAGATAGAATACAAAAATCAAATTATTTTTGAATAGTTTTATATAATAGATAGATTGGAATATCTAAATTGCTTTACATCAAACAATTTTAAAGAACTTTCTTTTTATCATATCCTATAAAAATATCTCATTATACATATTTAAAAAAATATCATCCATTCCAAAATTGAATTTAACATTTTTATATGTATATCTCATATCTCTAAAACAAATATTCAAAAATCTTCTATTATTATCATTTCATATAATATTAAATTTAACATTCCATTCTCATTTTTCTCATATTCTTCATGGTCTTATCACCAAACAATTCCAAATCCAAACAAGTTTTCCATCATTCTACAACCCCCAAAAAAAATGTTTCATTACATTCAAAAACCATCCATTTCACAGTTAAATTCAACGTTTTTACATATAAATCCCTTTTTTCTCCTCCTCCCCCTCGGACATACACAAAAGTTTCCATCCAAAAATCAGAGAACAGAGGGAAAAAGTGTGGGATCGATCAATCGAACGAGAACGTCTTTCCCCGTAACGATCGAAAGCGTGGAATCTATTGGCCGCGGTCAGCATTCCGGTAAATTTTCAGCTCGGTGAAATCGAGCGTGGTTAAACGCTTTCAGCGAGAATCCGCGCCGTTTCAACGGCACAACGGGAGTAACAGAGGGAGTAACCCTGTTACAAGTCGAACGATCGTGCAGCCACCACCCCTAAATTAATTAGACTGTTCGACGTTGACCTTGCATTAGCGTGCCGTCCGTAATTAAATCCCGCCCTCTTACACTCTTGGGCCGTCTTATTAAAGGTGCGCCATTACATCCCATTGATAACATCATCTGATGAGATATTCCTCCTATGCCACACCGTCAACATTTCTTATTTACGCCTCGTTCTCGCCGTTAATTGTGATCCTGACGGGGCGCAACGTGGATCCGTCTTCACATTCGAATGAGAATTTTGTTGTTTACGTTGATCTATGGTGCTGATTTCCGATTGCAAATGCAAATTTAATAAGGGAACATATTGTTAGGGTTAATTTTTCGTTGGAGGATGTGATATTGATTATATTCTTATTGCAGTGTTCTTTGGAAAATATTATATTCTTTATAACTTTGATTTTTCTTCGAATTGAATTTCGATTTCGATGGCGTGTATTTAATAATACGTTAAATAAATTTTTAGGTAATAAATAATATTATTCTGTTGCTTATATCGTGTTATTAAATATTGACTATGTTCATTTGATAAGTTGATGGAGAAGAAATCGATCATTTTGTATTTCTTTTCTAGAATAATTCTTTGTGAGATATATTCTATATTTACAGCAATATCTCTTTTATACAAATATTTTATAATATTAATTCTCACAAAAAATAACATGTATTTTTAAATAATAAAAATAGTTACAGTTAAAAATTGAAAAAATATTTTTTCTTTTTAAAAATTAGAGAAAATAAATTTTATCTTAATTTTTTTTGTAAATTAATTGTTCATTTAATATATATATTTCTTCGTTCTTTTGATTTATTCCAAAATTGTTTTCGATTTTAGAGTATTTTTATTCATGGTAAAAAGTAAAAAGTGTTAATTCTATTTTAATTACATAATCAATGTATATTATATAGGATTATATTTCCTTTTCGTAGAAATATTATAAATTTTTACAATTTCGCTAAAATATTAGTTCAAATTTAAACAATCATTTTTTTTTTTTTTTTGACTTATTTAACTTTTCCTTGTTACTATTTTTCGATTTTCTTTTTGAGTTGATTAAGCTTTTACGTTTCATTAAAGGATTGTTTAATTTTGAAAAAAATTTATGCTTTTGTTAAAAGCAAAAAGCTCTGGTAGGAATTATCTAACTTGTAATTTGCGTTGACCTAATTTCTAAAAATCTCGCTATATGTGATTTACTTAATTTATAATTTTCATTATACTGGATGACTTCATGTAACGGGACGTGAATTTATTTTAACAAATTCTATCGTATTACAAATAAAAATTTTTTCTTAAATAATAAAAAAAGATTGAGTGTCTTATGAAAAACGTCTCTTTAAAAATTTAAGAAATAATAATTATTATTAACAAATGATTTAGTAAGTAGTAGAATATTATGAATATAGTGATAAAAGGAAATTGGTCAATTATTATAAAAAATTATTTTTTTAAATTTATTTTAGTGTGTTTTAACAAAGTATAATTATATAATTTGTATAATATCTACAATTTGTAATTTTATCTTTTAGGATTTAAAAATTTTATTAGAGATTTGATTTTTAAAAATATTTTTTAAACAGAGAAAATAATTGTCATGAATTATGAGTAATAATAGAATCTCACAAAGTATAATTTTTATATTGGAATGCTAATTATAATATTTCTAAGTACATATTAAAATTAATTCTATCTCTAATCGCTATAAATTAAGAAAGGTGCAAAATTCACGCTATTTGTCGTTTTATAATAGGTTACATATCAAATGTTCAGATTAAATTTGGTGAAAGAATTCTTTTTATTAATTTGTTGAAAAATTCGTTGTGTAGCTGGTTGTATCAATTATTGTATTGAAATTTCATGATTTTTTTCAAATGTATAAGATAAATTGAATAATTTTTTTAACAAGAGATCGAAATATCGGTGTTTTTATAGAATTTTGGTTCCTTTTAAATAGATATGTTTTGTTTCTTTTTCAAATTACTTTATTCGTTTAATTCTTTCAATGATAAAATATTGTATTAATAAAAAATTTTGATCAAATCAATCATGAAATCAATCATGAAATCTCGTTGAACAAAATTTCATCTACACTTTAATTTAAAGATGTTAAATTTGAAATATTGTATTATATTTAATTAAAACAATATATAGCTTTTTTTTAATTTCATTATTTCAGAATATTATTATTTATTGTTCCAGAAAAATTTTCAACATACTTTTAATTGAATATTTATATATAAAATACGATATATGTATATGAATATATTTTAATATAATTTCTATATAATTTTCAGAGCACAATCCAATATAATTAATAATGATATAATAATGTAATAACAATGTTATAACAATTTTCTATTTTCATAATTACGTAAAATGATGTTTGTGCAAACAAGAATATATATATTCATGATCGGTCAATAATTTGTTAAAATATTATACATAAAATATTATACATAAAGCATGCATTAAAATTTATTGATTGCGAAAAGTCAAACAAATATCTGATTGATGTTGAAATAAATGTTTTAAAATGCAAAATATAAATAATTTTTAAAATCAGAAAGGATGTTTATTAAGAAAGTTTGATGACAGTGAGTTAGAGGAATTGCTCAACGAAAATTCGATTCAGACGCAACAAGAATTGGCAGAAAGATTGGGAGTCATCAGACAAGCAATATCTATTCGACTAAAACAATTGGATTCAGAAGTCAAGACGATGGATTCTTAAGACGATGAATTAAGCGAAATGAATAAAAAAAACAGACTCAAGATTTCTGTTGCCTCGCTTTCATGACATAAAAGGAAAAATTTTCTTCACAAAATTATTACTGGCGATGAAAAATGGATCTTATATGACAATCCAAATGATGGAAATCATGAGTTAATCCTGGGGAACTGTCGACTTCAGTGGCAAAACCGAAGCATTGCAAAAAAATTTTACTGTCTATATGGTAAGATTTCTAAAAAATCATTTATAACTATTTCTATCTAGAAGGACAATAATTACCAAATATTATCAAAATTAATTAATAAATTTATGATTTCTAGCTAGAGCAGAAATGGTCATTTAGTGGACAAGGAATAAGACGTAATTTTGCAGCATGATAATGCTCGGCCACACATTGCAAAAAGAGACAACTTATGCGTTGCAATGGGAACTCCTGCCACATACGACATACTCTTTAGACCTGATCCCGTATTAGATTATCATCTTTTTTGAAGTCTGCAATACCAATTTTCGGGGAAATAACTCGAAAGGAAAAAATATCT